GGTAAAGAAGCATGTAGCCCACCAAACAAGAACTATGGCCCTGCATAATTGCGATAAATCTTTTCCTTTTTATATTGTGGCAGCTTTAAAGGCTAATTTTTATTTCATAATATATGATAATTAAAATAAATATTTATAAGAGCTTGAAGTATTTAAACTATATATTGAGGAGAAAATATATTTTTTAATTTTAATTCCTCATTCCTTACTCTTACATTTTTTTATGATAAAAAGATATCTTTTTTATTAACAATATTGTTTTTTTATTAAAAAAATAATACAAGATAATTAAAATAAATATTCACAGTAATATGAAGCTCAAGTTCAGATTCATTTTTTGAGGCAAAGTTCCTATTTTCTTGTTAATTTATTCTTTTGGACAAAAACATTTTTTTTATTAGTAGCATGTTTTTTAAAGAAAAAAAATGGTATAATTTTAAAGGCTAGTTTTAAATAAAAATAAAAAATTAAAATCTCAATAATTTTATTTGACTGTAACAATCTTTTATTGAACTCGCATATCTATAATGAACCCATAAGATTAGTTTTTTTGTGGCTGACAATCTTTTCTCTCTTCTCTACTTTCTAATGACTTTCTTCCTCATCTATCAAAACTCAAAAACTAAAACATAATAAAACTGAAATTTGAGGACTGCAATATAAAACTCTAGGGATTGAATTGAAAAAACAAAAACTCTGAGGATCAAAGTTAAATTTTTCCAAGCATTTGAGTAGTAAAGCACCTGCCATATTTTATAATTATAATATCAAAAACCCATTTTCATGATGAGGAGAACAAGAATTCAAATTTTGTACTTGATACAGCATCACTATACTACACTTACGACTAGCTGCCATTTTCAATCCAACTATAAGGTGTAAATTAATATGCTTTGGTTTACCGTCATATATGTATATAACACCATCTAACGCGTTTTTAACGTAATTTCAATAAGCTGAACAGTGTAGATAAACGCATAATCTAGTTGAAAATGGAGCCCCTCGAGAAGTTTCCTTTGCGTTGACTTAACTACGAAGCTCAATTTTGAGGGATCAGCACTCACAATATATATGTCATACAATTTTATATTTCAATTTTCTCTGTTTAATTAATCATTCCTCTTATGTTGCGTTAATCAAGTATCAGTTTTCAAAGTCTATGTTTATAACAAGCCATACAGCCCGCACTGTTTTACGCGCTCAGGGCTGACTAGCTAGCGGGAACTATGGCGTGCAAGAGAATTTCCAGTGCATTGCTCAAACCACACAGCCTCAAATTACGAGGGTCCAGTTGGTCCTTGCACAGTATCTTGACGTGGGAATAAGATTTTAGTTAAAATAGGTAGAAACTGTATATAGTTGCTGCAATGAAGGTACAAATCATGTGAGTTTAGCCAATTTCGCCAGCTTTGTGCAAGCCCAAAATTCATCGCATGCTACCATTTACAGGAGCAAAAACCTTTTGACCATTGGAGCAATGGAATAGGTTTTTGTTGATAAATGACAATCAACAACGGAGGAAAGAAAATATAAATTCTTAAAGATGGGAAGATATGTGAAAACAAGGAGGACGTTACCACAAATACAATTTCCAGCGCTGAAAAAGGCCTAGGGATGGACCTACTTGTCTATCCTAAACACAAACTACAGCGAGTTGGATCCAAATTTTGTAAAATCTTGATGGGCCATTGACCTCAAAGTAGCTCTTGGCCCACCTAATATAGAGCTCCAGACTCTGGTTACTAGTTAATGCCTGCCTGTACAAGAAATTAACAATGGCATCGCCGTAGTAATAGGATGTTTGTTTTTGTAATTTAAAAATATTTTTTAAATTTTTTTATTTTTAAATTTACTTTTTAAAATTATTTTAATAGGTTAATATTAAAAATAATTTTTTAAAAAATAAAAAATATTATTTTAATATATTTTTTAATAAAAAACATTTTAAAAAATAACTGCAACTATTCTTTTAAATATCCTCTCACTTATTTATTTTTTTTAATCTATGTAATTCATATTAAGTAGCATTCAAATTGCTTTAATTTTTCAAGTTAGTATTATGCAAACTGGATTCATTATTTCTGATTTGTAAAAGAGTATATGATTTTATTTAATTACATTAAAAAAATAACTTCCTTGTTTATTTTAATTTTTAAGAAAACCTTTCGTCTCTTATAATTATAGTTATTAGTGCTTACCACGAATATGATAAAATTGTCTTGTTAAATATTATAAGTAGGCATTAAGGACAAAGTGATTTTTTATCCTAACACGGTTGTTTTTTTTTTTTAATTATGTAGGTTTAAATTGGTCCTTTTTTCACAATAATATTATTAATTTAACCCTAAAATTAATATATATATATATATAATATTATTATTATTATTATTAAGGTGAGTTTTGGCTTTTTGAATTTTTTTAAAATAGTATAATTACATTCAAGATTATTTAGTAATTAATTGATATCTTGCATAATAATGTTTGTAAGATTTCAACATCCAAGATATAGTGGGTGTCGCGCCTAAGATGTCTTGAGTTTGATATTAATGATATATTTTTTTTTTTTTATCATCTCTAATTTTATGTCAACTCTTTTAAAAATTTAAATTAGCCCCTACAATTTATTTATCATTTAAATTTAGTCCATGTCTTTTTTTTATTTTTTAATAATCTATAAAATTATAAATATTCTTTAATTTCACCTCTTTTATTTTTTAATATATAAATAATCTATCAAATTACAACTTTTTTTAATTTCACTCTCTATAATTTTTTTACTCTTTCAAACTTGGTTTCTTCTTATTATTATTTGTTTTGGATAATTTTTAAAAAACATTCTACAATTTTATTCTTTATGGACTTTTTTTCTATCAATTTTTTTTCTTGTTCTTTTTGTTTCTATATTTTTTTTTTATTTTGAATTTTTTTTATTAAATCTAGGTACATGTTTTTACAAATTACGAGTTTTAGAGATTAAACTAAATTTAATAAGTTCATCAAAGTTTGATTGATTTTTTTCATTTTTTTTTTGTAGTTATGCTTTTGTATCTTTTACAATTTGCACCTTTTATAGGGTTAAAATTAGATTCATAACTAGAATCTCCAATTTCAAATGTTAACGTAAGTTGATTTTTGAAAAAAATTGATTTATTTTAATTTTATTATTCAAATTTTTTTTACTGCTTTTCTTTATATGAGACTATGTTAATTTTATATTTATGGTTACGAAGTTTACAACGATTGATTTATTTTAATTTTATTATTCAAAATTTTTTTACTGCTTTTCTTTGTATGAGACTATATTAATTTTATATTCATGGTTATGAAGTTTACGAGATTACCAAATTTAACAAGGGTTTTTTGTATTTTATTTTTTTAAAAATAGTTTTACTTTTAACAAGGGTTTTTTGTATTTTATTTTTTTAAAAATAGTTTTACTTTTTAATATTAAATTATTTGATAATTCAAGGAAACTCAAGTCTGTTTCTTTACATCTTAACATTGTTATTTTTTTATATTTTATATTATTTAAATTACTAATTTAACCAATTACTCAAATATTTTTTTACCTAATATTCTCATATTACATAAAAAAAAAATTACCTGACTCGCGATAAAACATGGGCAACAAATCTGTTCTCATCTAATACCAAACCTTGTGCCTTGTGAATTCTTACCAATTAGCCAGATCATCATTTCCTGATAAGAAACTTTCATACCAAATCTCAGCCTTCCATTAATGTACTGGATTAAAGAGCATTTTGAAGAATTGTTTACACTTCCTAGTCCATCCTCTTGAATGATCACCCTATAAAGTTGGCACTTCCACCATACGAAGTGCCACATTGCATCCCACCCTTTGAAAAACATGGTTTCCCATGTTTTCCCATGAAAATACCCCATTTGGTTAGGAATCACCTCATCAGATATTTTGTTGATCTGATGATCCCAAAAGAAATCTTTAATAGATAAATATTAAAATAATGTTTCAAAATTGTGTTAATGTAAGATGATTAGAAGCAAAAACAAATTCTAGGAATGGAAGCGTATAATGATGTAGAGCCCAAAAATGATTAGATGCTTGTGTTTATGATTGCGGTTCAGTGGTGGCTCTGTGCGCATTGGTTATCACGTTTCTTACCTGTCCAAAATACAAGGATTGAGATAGAAAAATCGGGAAAAACTGAACTGAAGATGCTTCTTCATCTTTTAATTTGCCCGTCTGGAAAACTTTCCCATCTCCTCTCCAATTATTCAAATAACAAGAGGAGTTAATTACTTTCCACCCTGTGGCCTCTCTTTTCCGATCTCTTTTTTTCCCATCCCAAGTCCCAATCACTATAACTCGTCAACTTCTTTGAAGTCGTCATGGTTTTGATGACAGCAATTACATAATTGTGTGCCCTCGTCGAAACAGATGGACAGGAGATGAGAAATTTCAGGAAATTTCCGGGAATAATAGCTATCAAGTTCTCTATTTTCATCATTTGAAATAGACACAACATGAACTGGAGTCATCAGATCACGGCCAATCGTCTCATCATAGCATACCCGTTCATTCAATTCAATAAGCCTATTGTTACTCGTTAATTCTACAAGCAGGCAGTCCAGGCCGAAAAGGAGGGTTGTCTGCATAACTAGTTCATTTGCTGCCTCTCTGAAAGGAACTTGCAAGCGCCTAAGATTCCCCAGGCATTAAAGAAACAACATTTTTCCATTTCTTTTTTCTTTTTTTTTATGGAAAAACCTTTGTGGCCCACCTGCTTCTGAATAAATTCACATCCAAATGGGTCTGGTTGACACATGCAGCGCTGCCAATTGTCATGTCATCATGCCCTCAGTCTGTTCTTAACATACAAACATTAATACAAGTGGCATAGACAGTAGTAGTGATCAAGATAATGAGAACCCTGTAATGAATGGAATGGCTATGAGCTGAAAAAATATAACAAATTCAAAACATCAAAGAATGTACAAAGCATGACTCGGATCTAGTGAGAGAGAGAGAATACTTCCCTGCATTTATTCAAGGTGTCCATTGCTACAAAAAGAATAAAGAACCTGAGGTAGCAGCAGACTTGACTTTAAATTAAGGAGCAGTGGAATATCCACTTGCAAGAATTAATTTGACTGTTAAAAACAAATTTACAGTTACTAATCACATTCTACTTTCAGCTAGCAGGTTCGTTCTCCTGCCAAAAGACGGGAAAACACCCAGGCATGAGAACCCGAAGAATCAACATCCATGCAAGGCACCCTAATTGGAGGCCTGCACAAAGAATGAAAGTATGTCCTAGAGTTGGTTAATCTTTGCCGCTGCTCCCATAATCAATCTTTTGGATATTCCGTGTTGTTAGAACCCCGTTTAGATAAAAAAAAAAATGTTAGCGAAGTCAGGCTCTGGATAATACTACAGAGGCCGGCCAACCAGTTTTCCCATCAACCATGTGATCATAAAGTCAATATAATCTGCTCTCTGAACCTAGAAATGATGGGCTTCTGACTTTAAGACGCTTAGGTCCAATCGCTATAGGGGGGGGTTTCCTCACAGTCTTTCCCAATTCATGCTGGAACCGGTCCCTTCTGTGTTGTTCTCGCTGTCTACTCATTGCTTCCTCATTGATCAACTTCTTGAACTTGATCGAGATTGGAATAATACTTCCCCTGGCAAACCTGTCCTTTAAAGAACTCTCTGGCGCTTCCTTATAATCTGAACCTGAAGTAGAACTGCGATTTGATTCGTCAGTTCTGCAGCATTCAGATGAAGTTCTTTGCCCATATCTTCCTTCAGGTTGGAGTTTCTTCAGTCTTCTAAGCCCCTGTTTAAATGACCAAAATACGAGATTGAAACAAAATTGGAGCATAACAGTTCAGGAAAACAAATTTTCAGCGCGACTAGTTCATCCTTTAACATTTAATTAATGGTTCCATACTGGGCTAATGAGTGCAAGTTGGGATAAAACACTATGCCTTGCCATAGAATTCAAACAATCTAATGTCACTTCCATGATAAACAATAAAGAAAAGGAGGAAACAGTTCCGTGATCATTTGTTTCAAACCATAAGCGAACCTCCAAAATCCTTTTATCTGCTAACCCAGATTCAATCAGACACCAGAAAATTATATCAGGGAAAGATACTACTTTAAATAAGAAGTTCTTTGCTTTTTACAGGTAAAGTATATTGGAAAAGGAAAAAACACAGAATGCAAAAGAGAGAGCTAGAAAAAATTCATAAAATTCAAAAGAAACCACTTGAGAATCCTTAAAACACAAGGATATAAGAGATGAACTATGAGTATAAATCATGGGTTAATGGCTAAATCTATCTTTATATAATCTGATAACTCTCCGATGTATGAGTTAATTTTATCTTAAATACATTTTAAGTTCCTAATCTAAACCTGTTGACAAGATGGCTAAACCAACGGGATTACTTACATGACTTGAAAGGAATTTACCATATACACAGTGCAAAGTAATATACCACCATACCTGGTGTTCATAATTCTTTGAAGATGAAGCATCATTCACAACTCTTTTTTCCACTTTCAGAGAAGACCGGCGCTTAACCCTAAATATCTCCAAGTCAGAATCATCACTTTGTTCATCAACACTGGGTTTAGCCTCTAACCCACAAAGATTACTTTGCTGGGTTCTCAGGAATTCATCATGTGATAGAGAGGATACCGAGGACCCATGTTTGCGGTGCAATCCTTCCTCAAATAACCTTTTAGAATCAATTTTCCCTGCATTGGAATCAGCCTGCACCTTTCCCTGAGGAAAATAGAAACAAAATCCATTAATCATAATGTTAAAAACACCTCATTTTTCACTACTAGCATATTAAGTAGGACTTGCCACATTTAGGAATAAGAGAGGTGAATCATACATTGTCAGATGTAGAAAAGCTTTCAACTGGCTCTCCCAGAGAACACAGAGTAGATGCAGCACAAGAAACGGAAGCTTCTGAGTATTCAGGTTTAAAATTTTCAATGCCATATTTGTTTTTGGATTCTCTGAACTCTTGCAAACATTCCCGACTTATCACAGGAGTTTCAGAATTAAAATCAAAGCTTTTACCACAATAAGGAGTGTACCCATCCTCAGGAACACTATGAAACTTAATGGATAATGGATAAGAGTACAAATCATCACCAATGTTTGCTTGCTTTCTAATCTCCTCTAATATGCCATTTTCCTTCTCAAACTTCTTGGCTGCAGCTTCCATGTTGGAAATATCATCCCTCAAAAACAGTGTGTAATTTCTCCCACACGAGAAGTCAAGTGAACAGAAATCTGGACAGTACAACCAGCAAAATTGTAAAGTGATTAAAAGACAATCGAAAATGACTTATCATATAAAGAAGAGATGGCTTATATGTTGTCTATGGAAGATATGAAGCAAATTATACCATGTCGAAGGCACACAGGATGCAAGTCACAGCTGCAGTTAAGGAATGCCACATAGCAATCTCGTTTACATAAGGTGCATAAGATTGTCCCATTCATATTTGGCAAAATGCCAGTGCATGCTCTCGATTTCATTACAGAGCAGCGAGCAAAATGGTGGAATCGCATCAGTTGCACGAAAGACACCTTAGTCCAATTATGGGAAACCAAGTCTGCAGAGGAATAATCTGAATCTTCAAGTTCCAGACTTGTATAAAGAAGCATTGCTTCTTTGCACAAAAGTTCTTCATGAGGAAGTAGAGGAACTTTGTTGAGAAGTGCATAGCGCTGGCTCGCTACAGCCCCCAAAGGAAACCAATCACCAATTGCAAAGTTTACAGCCTCGCCACAGTTGAAACCTACAAATATACAGAAGGAAAAATACAAGAATCATTCAACTGTAAATCGAGTTTGGATGTTATGTTTTAAAAACATTTAAAAATCTTACTATTATCAACTCAGCTGAAAGAAAAAATATCTTACCATGGCTGAATCCCGCATGATAAGCTCTAGGGAAACTGATTATATACTCCCCGGGCTTTTGCACAGCCTTGTAAACTGGGATGTCATGTTCTAACAATATATTCGGAGGAAACAGAGTTGTTTTCCCCAAAAGTACATCAAAAGCTCCATCCTCCCCATCAGTGGATAGAATATCATGGCTATACACATGTTCTCTGACCACTTTTTCAAATTTTAAAGCAGCATGACCCGGAATTCCATACCAAGTTTTTGACGCTCCACAATGATGGTAGTTGATGCTGCCACAACAGTAAATAAATTGAAAGGTGATAACAAAACAATTTACCAACACTAGAAATAAAGCAGAGAAAAGGACACGAGAATACGTTGAAACCGAACAAGCATTGCGTATGAATAATACCTATACAAATAATGATCTTCTACATGCCAAGCAAACACACTAAACAGCATTCCAATGTAAAGCATAGGATCGGTTACCCCCTGAAATAAGTGCAAGCTATGTCACCAAGGGACATGAAGTACAATAACAAATAAGGAAAATAAAATATTGAGTAGTTACCGGAATAACTGTTCCCAGAAGGCGCAAAATGGACTTCGGCAGCCGGGAAAGATTCTGAAACCACAAAGAAAGATGAAAAACAATAATTGGTAGTGGCTGTACGTGCAACTCAAGAAACATAAAGAAATGACATTATTCAGAGTCATTATGGTAACTAGTGAACTATTTTTTCCCTACAAGCAACTTTAGGTCCACAGCAGTAGAATAATAATTTAAAACAGGGAGGAAGGGGGTTTAAGCTGGAAAGCTAGAGGGGATGATCTTTCTAGCTATTTTAAAATATTTTCCTTTTTTTCACAAATAAAGGGGACATACTGTAAAAAGGAGAACACTGTTTTTAGAATAGTTTCCTCTTTATTCACAAAGGAACAAAAAATATCAAGTCTACTATAAACTACTTGTGTCCCTAATGGGCACAATTTCTCCAGTCTACAATAAAATAGTCTTATCCTGTGCGGCAACAAACAAGTATCAGGCTATCAGCAGAGATCAAGTGTATGGTTCCCACTTTTCAACCCAGGAAGCTCAAACAGAACCAAAATGCCAGAATTCTGACACCCTTCCAAAGATAAGGACTCCATTGTCTGTCACAATGACATCTGCTGAGAGTAATAGTGAGGGTTTCTCATGCTGCACACTCATGTAAAACAAATTCTCATATTATGATTTGTGACCTCCAGTTGGATTGATTTTATCCATTACATCATGGTATTTTATATTTTACTACCAAACCCCACCCTGAAATCTTTTTGTTTTTGTTTTGCACTCCTGACCAACTCCACTACTTCCAAATTTCCCTTGGGCTAAATTAAGCAGATGAACCTCTATAAGAATAAAGTACAGGAGATGATAAAAGCAAAAGCAAAATCAACACCTTCAAATTCCACTTGCTATTTCCAAGCGGGTCACTGGGAGATGATGAAAAGGCACTACCATCGACATTGCATGCATATTCAACTGTTTCTGTCTTTCCACAAGCAATTTCATGCCAAAATTCTTTTTCCAAGTATGTTGCAGGAAGACAACTGGCACTACAATATCTACGGGCAAAAACCTTGTTCGCCATTTTCTCGAAATCACGAAATGTATAATTTCTGAAAAGTGCCACTCATATTTAAAACCAGAGAGAACATTCTAGTCAAAAACTATATCTCTTTGAATTAATAAAACTAACCTTCCACTCATAAAAAAGGTGACTCGATCGTCAGTATTCCACTCAGCAAGACGAAGAGGCTGTACTCTAGTTGTAAACTTGAATCCTGCTTTCTCTTTCATTAATACAACCCCAGCAGGAACAGATGCACTCACAGGAGAAATAATCTTGCATATACCTGTACATTAGGGGGAAAAAATGGAAGATATAAATCAAATTAATTTGATTGAGAAAAAATGGGTGCAGAAACCTGTCATTGGTGACAACAAAGCAGCAGTACTCCCTAAGTTTCATAATTTCCATGAGTGTAATTTCACAGAGGATTGTATTATGATGAGAACAAAGAGTGCTTCCACTTGACATTCGGATGACATTGACAAAAAAAAGAAGAAAGAATGTGTCCATTACACTATTATATGAAGCAGGGAATGCATAAATCAGATGTGCCCAGCTTCTCATTCTGGTAGCTCAACATTGAGAATTCAGGTGTTCTTCAATTCTTAGAAAATAGAACTACACCGATACACACAGTTATTTATGCAAAGCCAAGAAGATTGTTCCACCAACAAAAGAACCAAAAATATTAATAGACAGCATGGCCTGCTTGCTTATATTATAGACATATCCAGGCTTTGCACAGAAAAGATACGCCAACCAAAAACCAATTTTAAGAATTCAGGTGTTCTTCATTTTTTAGAAAATAGAACTATTCTGATCCACACAGTTAAAGTATTGTTTCACCTAAAAAAGAAACCAAATAAATAATAGACAGCATGGCCGGCTTGCTTTTATATTTATAGACATATCCAGGCTTTGTAAAGAGAAGATATGCCAACCAAAAACCAATTTTAAGATTTTCACATAAACCTCTATTTAAGCAGGTCTTCTTCCATGCAATTTACAGTAGTAGATAGACCAGCAAGACCACATCAGCATCATTGCAAACAAGGTTTTAAGAAATTGTCTTAAATGACCCTTTTTCATGACCACATTACTTTTTCACATAACAATGCTTAGGAAGAACTTTTATAGGACAACTTTCACCAATTTGGATCAGAAGACAGCAGGATTTTATGGTCTCCAGAAGTTCAATTTTTCATGTTCTTATAATCAAAACTAGAAGAAAAGCTGAACTCAAGAAGAGCCATTACCATATCTTGAAGCTTCTGGAGCTATTTTCTGCAAATACACCAAGGGGTCCTCAAACTCCTCCTTTGTCGGACAATAGACAGGGCATTCAGGAATTTTCTCAGTCCATTCTAAATTACTCGTGTCAAACTTATCCATCTTTGGCTTTGAAAACACATCCTTCCCACTTGAAGCACCAGCAGACCGAGATAATGATTCTGCATTACCATGTACCCTAACACCACATGATGCTGAAGCCCTTAAATTATCTCCTCTGCTTCTACCCATCATATTGGGAACACTTACAGTTTCTGTGACACTTTCTGATTTCATTCGCTGAAGCCTTCTATGCTTTAAGTATTCTAGCCCATTTCTAGCTTCTCTGGACAAGCATACCCTTCCTTCCACCTGTCAAAACAAAAGGAAGTAATCTGTGACCAACACAAATAAAAAAAAGCTGCTACATGTACTTTGATAGAAGATGCGAGAAAACATAAACCTCTAATGCATGAATGCAACCAGCATGAAGCACAACTTCATCATGCATTTTCCCAAACATGAAACTAAACATCTGCATGGTTTATCTCAACTGAAATTTGCATTCTGCTATAAAAAAAGGTTTGTTCAATACAATTCATAACGGGCTACAGCCAATCATCCCTTCATGCAAGATTCAAGAAATCATGTCAAAGTTTAGAAACAAACCACCAATGTATGGGGAAAAAAAAACACCCGAACAAATAATCTACCTAAACTGAAAAATGCGAAAATGTCACCAATAGGAAATCACCCTGCATTCATGTCAATTGTATAGCTCAAAAGAAATTCAATACTCCCTAGTTATTTCCACCCCAAAGGATGTGTTACAGAGTCAACCATTATGGCCGTATCAATTAATCATTTATCGCCCCATTCAAAGACAAAAAATAAAAAAGTGTGTTCACAGGACCCATGTTGAATTGAGAGTCAAAAAAAAAAAATCTGAGGAATATTTCAAGCTAATAAAAGTACAATTTGACCCAACTAGATCTAGGACCATATCAACTCCTTACAGTCATTTTTTCAACTCAAACTCTTTTTATCTTTATCAGCAGAAAACCAAAGCATGGTCAAAGTTGAACGTTCAACAAATACACGCGTACACACTTCATTCACAATTTTTACAGCACCTAAAAAATTAGATTAATTATAAAAAAAGTGGAAACATCACATCGTCATCTTCGCATGCAACTTGTTAGCCGCCTAAAATTAAATTGAAATTTAAAAAATAAGGAAGAAATTTTATAAATTATAAAAACTCATTCAGAAAAAAAGAAAAAAAAGAAAAAACCATTATAACACCCTCGCGCACAAAAAAAAATAGCTCTCCCGAAAATTATCAAATAATCTTTGATGCGTAACAGAACATGCAACAAAAAAGGAAGCCTCGAAGAATCAAATAACCAGGAAGCACAATTTAAGAAATAAATGAAAACTGAGAATTTAAAAATTCCAGAAAAAATATTCCGGAAATAACAAACATCAGTGCATGGTAGAACAACGTGTAAGATCTGTCCAATAGAAACTGGAATAAGACAATTCCACAACTACTGAACAAAATGTTATGAGCATCAACAAATAAGCAGAAAAGGATGAAGAAATACTTAGGTTAATAATGTTAATGCAAAGAGAAATCATATACCATTTCATTCCGTAGTCGGTCTCTATTCGCCTCCGTTTTAATCAAATTGTAGCCAACAGAAACGAAACTAAAATCAACAAAATACACCAATTCCAAACCCTAGATCACGATCTTCTCCAACGAAGCCATTAGCCCCAATCAAGCACGCCACATTCTCTCAAAACGTGCCAAACATGAACAAACAGAGCCAACCTCAAGAGATCCAGAAAAAAAGTCGTCAATAACCGAGTCAGAGACACGAAACTAAACAAATCAGTCAATCCGAATTCGTGGTTTTCCGGCGAGATACGGGGCTATAGGCCGGAGAGATAAGCGGTTTCCGTCGAGAAACGGTTGTTTTCCGGCGGAAGGTGAGGAGAGAGAAGTAGAGAGAGTGAGCGAAAAGAAAAGGAACAGTTGATAGAGCGAGAAAAGAAAGGAATGGCTTCGAAAACCGAGAAAAGGACATAAAGAGGATAATTTATAGTTTATAGTGGAAAAATAAATTTCACTGGTGATGTTCTAAATTCTAATGTAATTTTTTTTAATTAAGAAAATAAAAATGGGAAGGAGTAAAGAGAAAGAGAGAGAAATGTTGAGGAAAGTAGTGGCGGTTGTTAGGTGGTTCAACCAAACCCCTTGCCGGCCAAAACGCGGGCGTTTTTCACTTCACTTCAATTGTTATCTCCCGTTTCGCTCTTTTGAAAGCTTACCGTTTCAGATTATTTTACCATTTTAGCCCTCACAAACTCCTACCCACAAGCTCATCTCTTCTATTTCCCGATTATCCATGAAATAGAATTTGTCTATCATTCAAAATGTCACCTTTATGTCAATTTTTTATGTTTTGTTCAAATAGTAATATTAATCTTGCTTAGGAAAAATCAAAATCAAGATTTAAAAATTAAATTCATAACATTCATTTCCAAAATCTACTCAATAAATATCTTAGTAAAAATAATTTCATTTATACACAATTCATACAGCATCATTATGCTAAAAAGAGAAATATTTGATTCATATATAAATTTACAATATAATTTATTTTATATTGTGAAGGGATTTATAATGGATAAAAGATATTTAAACTTATTGAAACATAGGTTAAGATATGGTTAGGTATTGAATGAACTATATGATAAAATCAATTCTTGAGTAAATTTGAAGTTGAAAGGATGTCGTCTCATTCATTGTTTTTAGATTTTCATTCACATTTTTAATAAACAAATATTATTCATTGAACTATCAAATAATTTGTTAAAAGACGGATTACACTTTAATAAATATTTCAAGATTTCAAAGGGAGGAAGGCCTTTTACCCTTTTTCTATCCCACGAACTTGAAAATGGATAGCGCCCGGTATTGTGATGTTCTGTGAGGCTATTTGAGACAATTCGCTTGACGTTGTTATCGGAGAGTTTCTGGTTGCTATTCTGGTCAGAGAAAAGAAAGGGGTCAGAGAGACATAATTATCGTGTGTAGAAAGGTACAGTGACTACATGTTTCCAATGACAAGATCGAACCGCTCATCCAAACGAATAACGTAGGATGAACGGTGACATAAAAGAACAATACAGTATGTGAAATAAAAGCCGCTTGTACTTTTTCCTTCCAGCGGTCGACTTTGCACAGAATATAGCCACCCACCAGCTCTAAGTTAGCTATTCTACCTTTCACGTGACACTTATGTCCTTGCCTTCGTTCTTCTTTTTACATGAACACCACGGACACCGTCATCTTTCTCACCGGATTCCGCCAATTTAGTGAAACCAACCCCGAAGCCCAACTAGTCGTGCCTGAAATATTGTGCATGTGTCGGAAAACAGGAGTGCAGTTTTAAGCAACTATGTCTCTCCGTGTGGCCAGGACGGAATTAGCTCAGCAGGTTTCACGCACCCGTATATGAACGTTCCCAGCTTTTAAGCTTTCTCTGTCACGATAAGCTGGAGATTATGTTTAGAATATTCTGTAAATTAAAAAATATATTAATTTTTTTTATTTTTTAAATAATTATAAAGCACTTAAAAATATTAATTTTATATTTTTTTTATATAAACACTCTATTAAAACACTTCTAAAATAATTTTAACTAAAAAAACAAACGGGCTCTGTTATCACAAAAATTAAATTAAAGTTAAATTTAAATGGGGAAAAAACGAGAAAACCTACAGTGCCGGTATCCGATAACAATAGTAGTGGAAAAGGAAGTTGTTTTGTTGGTATTTTCTTTTCTCTCTCCAGCGGTGATTGGTGGGTTGTTTTGTTTTTGTTATGCGGAGGTTTGGTCTAATGATTAGTTTTCAACCGTCAGCGAAAACGAAGAGGTTGATGTATTCTTGGCGGCTCCACATTAACATTTGATACACTAGACTCCGGTTCCATGGCTCGTCTACTATGCTTTCTTGAAGTTCACGCTTTTATGCCGTTTTATTTAAGTGATTTTTGGCGAACCACCAGCTAGGACACTTTTTTTTTATTATTATTAATATGAATATTCAAATCAAATTATATATACTTTAATTAATTTTATAAAATCTGAAATTCATTTTATATTTTAATAAATTATGTTGTTGATGACATTACAGCTTTATTTATTTATTAATATGTAAGTTTTTTCAAATGATTAACACCATTTTATTCTTAATAATAATCTACTTAAATTTTAATAGGATTTCTTACTTTATTAAATTAATTCATAAATATAATAATTATCAATGAAAATAATTAAGGCTCCATTTTTTTTTGCAGGAAACTAATTTCATTTTAAAAGGTGAATTTTGAAAAAGTAAATTTTAGGAGAGTGAATTATTTTCTGATATTTGGTGGTATAATAAAAAATAAGTTGAAAAATATTTTTCAGTATTTAGTTATGTCATGAAAAATAAGCTGAAAAATAACTTATTAATGCTTTATTTTTTTCAAGTTTATTAAAATAATGATGAACGAATCATATAAATTAAAAGGTTGAATGATAATAAAATTAAAAATATATATATAATTTCATAAATTATCTCAAATAAAATAAATAAATAATAATAGAGATCAAATCAAACAATTAAAAAAATTAAAAGATAAAAAAACTAAAATAATAAGAATTATCATTTCATAAATTATTTCAAATAAAACAAGTAACAATTAAAAAAATAAGGACTAAATGTGATAGATAAAATTTTCCATTAAAAAATGATAAGGAAAAAAAACAATTATAAAAATAAAAATCAAAAAATAAAAATTATAAAAATAAAAATCAAAGTTAATATAAAAATTAAATTCTAAGGGATGAAATTAAAAAATATTCAAAATAAATAAATATATATATATATAGTAATCAAAAGTGTGAGGACTAAATTTGATATAATCAGTAAATAATATGATATTTCTAAATTTTTCACAACTTCTGAAAAGTGTTTTTCACATAAAATAAAAGTAAAATATTTAAAAAAAACAAGTTAAATTTTTCTTTTACTAAAAAGTGTTTTTCATTGATCAAAATTTTTAATAATAAATAAATAAGTTTGAAAAGTAATTTTTAAAATACCACTTTTCATCAAACAAAAACCTCTCAAGTGTGGTCAATTTAAAATTTAATAATACTATCATAATTATTAATTAACATGATAAATAAAAAATCCTATTGAAATATAAATAGACTACTGATGAGAGAAAACTTGACAATAGTTGTTTTAAATAAACTTATCGGGCATTTTATTTTATTTAAAGCATGTGATTGGGCGAGGATTCACATTAGATTGACAAAGCATTTCAACAAAAAAATGTTTTTATTTAAATGGAGAATAAGATTGATGAAACAAAAAAAAGCACAGTAACCTAAAAGTTTATATATATATATATATATATAATTTAAAAGTGTGTTTGTCTTTTTTTTAAATAGCATTATTTAAAAAAAAATAGCATAGCTTGAAAAAAATTTAGTGAATTATTGCAATTAAAAATAGTGACTTTTTAAAAAAACATGATGGGAAATAGCAACTTTTATAAAAAAAAATTATAAAATTGGGTAGGTATAAATTTCAATGAAGAGAGAATAAATAAGAAACAAAAAATATTTTGGAAGTACATCGAAGTTTTGATTATGATATCATTAGTATTGTAAAAAAAATCTCAGCAAGATAAATTTAACAACACCAAAAAGAGTCATTAACAATGACCAAAGGAAGCCACGCTCTACATCTAAATGCAAGTGAGTAATTACAATAAAGAGATAGAAAAGATGAGAAAAAAGAAAAAGAAAAAAAAAGACCCTAAAGACATATTAAAGTTCCTATTATGATATTATTGATACAATTAAAAATATCTTAACAAAATAAATCCATTGACAATAAAAAAAAGGTTATTAATGGTGATTGTAATGGGTCATACTCCCCGTCCAAAGAAAATTGAGCAATTACAATGTGGAGAGAAGACAAAAAGAAAAGGAAAGGAAAATGAGAGACTTGTAAGACGCACTGAAGATCCAATTACAACATCATTGGTATAGTTATAAAGATTTTGACAATGACTAAAGCGAGTCACACTTTTCATTTAAAAACAAGTAAGCAATTATAATAAAAAGAGATGGAAGAGAAAAAAAAAAGGAATAAAGAAAGAAAAGACCTCAAAATCATACAAAAGCTTCTATTATGACATATTGATATTATTAAAAAGATCTCAATTAGACAAATCCAAAGACACCGGTAAATGTCATCAATAGTGACAATAATGGACCATAATAGTGGGTGGTTCATTTTCCTTTAGGCAAAGAGTAACATGCTCTAGTAATTATTTATTATGACTTTTTTGATATTATTGGATTCATCTCATCGAGATCATTATGATAGTACCAATGGTGTTGTAATCAGAGTTTTGATATACTTTCAGGGTCTTTTTCTTTATTTTATTTTTATTTTCTTTATATTTCTTGAAAGTTATGCCAACTCATTTAAATAATTACTTTAGAAGTCATTATTTCAAATCGTGACTTCTAAAAAAATCATTATCCCCAGCCATGATACATGATAATTAAATTGTGTTAAGTGGGATTTTGTTTTCAAATGTATTAATAAAGGAGAACACAAATGTAATAATTAAATTGCAGGGGTTCTTTTGGATTCTAACATGGTAAAAAATTGATAAAACAACACAATGTAAAAAATATTTATATAAATAACATACTTTAGAAAATAAAAAATGATATCTGCGAGTTGTAAATGTGATATGCGACTATCTTAATTTGTAAAATTATTAGACACGAGATTTAATAAAAAAAGAGAAAATAAAGAGGAAAAAAGTAAGAAAGAAAAAGATCCTAAAGACACGCATAAACTCTAATGATGATACCATTGGTATCATTAAAAAGACGTTAATGAGAAAAATTCAATGATACTAGGGAAGGCCACCATCGATGATCAGAGCGGGTCACACGAGCAACTCAAAACTAATTGAGCTCTGAAACTTTTGGATGGCTTATGTAGCCCATTTTGTTCACCGTTTATGACCTTCTTTG